CGGTCCTAACAGAGTCCCTGGCACCTCCTTTAAAGTAAAAATCACAGAAGTCTTTTAAAAATTAAACTTACAAATACTAGTTGTTTGTGCCTAACCGAAGTAGACACTGGCAAGCCGATCGCGTCGCGGCAATGGTAAAGATGGTAACTGCGATGCCGGACCACAGGCGATGCGGGAACTGCGCTGAGGTTGAGCTAACGTAGGTTAACTGCTAGTTGAGTTTGTGTATTACGAGCCCTATTCCCAGAGGTAGGAAGTAGAACCGCCGAGTTATGAGTTGCGTTGATAAATGAAAGTTTAGTGTAAAGATTTGTGAAATAAGCTATATTCTAAAGTAGGTAGGTAGGTCAGGAAATTTTGATTATGGTAGCAGTTTGCGTAGTTGGCTCGGCTGACACTGCAAAATGTGCTGACTGCATTGGTGGGTTAGTGTGCCGTTGAGTCGGTGAGTTAGTGAGACATATAATATGCCGATCAGCCATTCTCATCTGCAGTGGGTGCTACTGAGCGCCTGGTACTGTCCCCAACTTGTCTACTGCTTGATATGTTGGGTGCTGGTCATGTTGAGCACCCTTGGGTACGAACACTAGTTACTTTTGGCACGAAAAAAAACTTACTTAGTAAGGCGCGGGCGAAATTTGGGTAGACCCTCAGCTTTTTTTTGTTCTAGAACAAGTTCCTCGGATAATATTCTTAAAATGGAATAATTACCATCAGCTTTGCCACAAAATAGAAGAAAAATTTTAAAAAACAAGAACATTTTTTTCGAAATTTTTGTTTTTGGTCACTTAATTTTTTTTATAATTTAATTTTGAAAATTTTTTTTGTAAAAAATAATACAAAAAATTAGACCACACGATATACGAGTACATATATTTTTGTATTATATATACAAAAATTTTTTATTTTGCAGGGAAATCTATCACTTTTCCAGGGACTAAAAATTGAGACTTTTATTTAAACAGCCATGTTTGTTTACGTACACAAAACTACAAATTGTGGTTTAATGTTATTAATACTTACTTGTAACAAATTTTAACAACAAACATAAGTCATGAAAACAAACATATCTTATTTTTGGATCCTATGAAGCTTGCATTCAATAAGATTTTTAAATTCTTTCACAGATTCATTCATTTATTTCTTTTTATGCACCATTTGTTGTTTTTCACCGAAAAATTAATATTTTTCACATCTATTTTTTTCTGCCACGTGTTTTTTTTTAATCTTGTATTTTCCTTTTTTAATATACATTAACTTGTTTTTACTCTCTCTCTCGTATAGGTATCACTTTTATACCACTGCATAGTGGTTCCGTCAGAGGCCAAAAATCAAAAAAACCGATTTAAAAATATTTAAATTAAACTTACACAGTTTGTCTCTAAAATGTCCAATCTTCCAATTTGCAAGCCGGTTTTCGCTGGAAACCCAACGGTACATTCTAAAAATAGAATCAAAAGCATGAACACGTGTTCATTTCAACAGCGCATCGGAGCTGTGGTGAAATATTTCAAAGCAAAAGCGCACTTCAAATCGGACTGGTAACTGTTCAAGTTTATAAATTTATATTATTCAAAATGGATTTTGAAGCTCAAGGTATTTATTTTACTTTATGAAATTAATTTATACTAACTTGATATGAAATTAATAAAATCTAACTTGATATGTGAAACCTCTTTGTTTGTACCTGTTTTGTGTGTCTCAAATTTGTTTACCTAAAGTTTTAGTTGTGATTCCACACGATTCCAAACAAGGATTTTTTTTATACTTATCAGAGTTTTATGATTTTTAAATCGTTAAAGTTAGGTGCGGAATGTTGCGAATGTAGTTGTAATCGTTAATATGCTAACACGACTTCTTATTTTTTCAAGGTCAAATTTTGCCAGCGCGCTGCAGCGCTTGATTGTTTACAGCTTCTATTTGTCAGTTTATTTCTTTTACTTAAAATTATTCTAATTATTTTTCCGTTTTTCTTTTATAATTTTTGTTTGCATTCCCAAAGGAGATTCGTATCATTGTGTATTTTCACGACAATATATTTTAAATTTATGGTGCACCAAAGGTGGTAGCAACGCTGCGAAATTACGGGAAAATATCGAGGATGTTCAAAATAATATTGAGAATAACGGCTACAATCAATATAATAAATTGGCTTACAATATGATTGATTAATTTATGATTTTTTGATAAGATATTTTTTTAGTAGATGTATAGCTTGAAAATTGGACGGGGGAAGATATTTAAATTTATGAAATATAAACAAAATAGTTGATTTTTCCTATGGCAGCAAATGTAAAAAAAGGAAGAACGCTATAGTCGAGTACCTCGCAGGTTTTCGCGGTTTGCGGGCGTTAAAGTGGGCGTGGCAAACTTTTTTTTGGGACAATCGATAGGTATTGATGAGAACAATACATTTTAGTTAAAATTTTCTATCTAGCATCAAAACTGTAGGAGCCACAGTTTTGGGCGGTTTGTGGGCGTTAGAGTGGGCGTGGCACTGTACTGAAACAAACTTGCGATGGGCAGGAATCTCAGGAATCTGCGCGCCTAATCCCAGTATTGTAACTCTCATAGTTTCCGAGATCTCAGCGTTCATACGGACAGACGGACATGGCTAGATCGACTCGGCTAGTGATCCTGATCAAGAATATATATACTTTATACCTTCTGCCTGTTACATACTTTCCGACGAATCTAGTATACCCTTTTACTCTAAGAGTAACGGGTATAACTACACCAACCTTATAGTCTGGGAGTTTAGATAACATACCTCTAAAAATAAGAAAAAATTTGCATACTAATTTTCTATTTAAGGGGGTCTTCTCATTCAAAACCCGTTTTTGGACCCTTTTTAAACAAATTCTTATTTGAAAACGCAAAAAACAATTGAAAACTTTTTTTATTTATTGTATTATAAAAGATTCAAAGTAAATAAAAAAAAACAAATTGCCTCGATACGAAGGCTGTTCAAAAAGTAATGAGACTTTAAAGTTGGTGGTGGAAAAAAAAGGTGTCGACGCGGCGGCGATCGTTCCTATAGCAGCTTTATCATATAGACGTACGATATGGCCATTTCTTATAACATACATATATTTATAATATTTTTTTTTAATTTTGGGGAAAATTTTGTTACAATATAACAACTAAAAGTAACTGTGGCCGCAGCTCCATACAAGCCGAACCACTGTGCACTGGTTTAATTTATTTAACTACGTTAATTGCGGGTAATTTTAACTCCTTCACATAATAAACGCAAGTGAAAAAGACGAAAAAAGGCACGTGCCTTCCAGGCACACTGTCGATACAAACTTTCGCTGCGCAGGAATCTTAGGAGTCTGCATGCCTAATCCCAGTAATGTAGCTTTTATAGTTTCCGAGATCACAGAGTTCATACGGACAGACGAACAGACGGACATGGCTAGATCGACTTGGCTAGTGATCTTGATCAAGAATATATATACTTTATACCTTCTGCCTGTTACATACTTTCCGACGAATCTAGTATACCCTTTTACTCTAAGAGTAACGGGTATAACTACACCAACCTTATAGTCTGGGAGTTTAGATAACATACCTCTAAAAATAAGAAAAAATTTGCATACTAATTTTCTATTTAAGGGGGTCTTCTCATTCAAAACCCGTTTTTGGACCCTTTCTAAACAAATTCTTATTTGAAAACGCAAAAAATAATTGAAAACTTTTTTATTTATTGTATTATAAAAGGTTCAAAGTAAATAAAAAAAAAACAAATTGCCTCGATACGAAGGCTGTTCAAAAAGTAATGAGACTTCAAAGTTGGTGGTGGAAAAAAAAGGTGTCGCCGCGGCGGCGATCGTTCCTATAGCAGCTTTATCATATAGACGTACGATATGGCCATTTCTTATAACATACATATATTTATAATATTTTTTTTTAATTTTGGGGAAAATTTTGTTACAATATAACAACTAAAAGTCACTGTGGCCGCAGCTCCATACAAGCCGAACCACTGTGCACTGGTTTAATTTATTTAACTACGTTAATTGCGGGTAATTTTAACTCCTTCACATAATAAACGCAAGTGAAAAAGACGAAAAAAGGCACGTGCCTTCCAGGCACACTGTCGATACAAACTTTCGCTGCGCAGGAATCTTAGGAGTCTGCATGCCTAATCCCAGTAATGTAGCTTTTATACTTTCCGAGATCACAGAGTTCATACGGACAGACGAACAGACGGACATGGCTAGATCGACTTGGCTAGTGATCTTGATCAGGAATATATACTTTATGGGGTCTGAAACGCTTCCTTTTACGTGTTACATACCTTTCCACGAATCTAGTATAACCTTTTACTCTACAAGTAACGGGTATAAACATATTGTTAAATTACTAACACAGTGCAACACGAAAAAATTTAACCTCAATTTGGACTTCACGTACGCAAAGTACTCATCGAAACTAGCGGAAACCCATTTGTGTTTGTCTAGCTTAGTTCGCATTTACCTATTATAGCCAATTAACGTTTTAAATACAAATGTTGATTATAATGTCTATATATTTAAAGCAAAGTAATTTTCAAAGCTATGTCTTCTTCGAATATGTAGGTATGAAAGCGTGGAATTAAAAATCCAAGACACACGTTCAAAGAAGTACCCCTAGGGCTTTTAAAATCTGTAGAGATAAGGAAAATGAGGAGAAATTACAACACCTCTTCTGCTACTGTCCAGCTTTAAGTGTCCGCAGATTGCGATACTTTGTCGCAATTTTTAAAATATGTTTTTAATTTTTATATATCTCAGACCTTTTTACTGTCTTCCCAAAACGCATTGTAAGCTTCTTCCAAACAAAATTCACTGATTAGGGGCGTAGGCAACACCCAAGCAGGTGCGGCACCACAAAGAACACGCAAAAGGTTTATAAAATGACTTTAGACCTTAACTAGTATTGTAAGCCCTCTAAAAATGTTAAAATTTCCGATTCTATATTTTAAATATTTTTTCGGTGATACCTATTAAACAAACCTTGTTTATCTCTGCTTTCTGCGCGAAGTATAATTTCCTTCCCTGCTTCACGTCTCCATTGAACCTTTGGTTTTGGAACACCTGTCGCACTGCATACGAGCGAAATACTTCCTCCCTCTGTGCTGACACTTTCCTCAGAATTATGTTCTGGATGGGTTAAAATATCTGGCGGCACAACTACATCTAGGTATCCGGACTGCAAAACATAAAATTCATAAGGTTCTAGCTGCATAGTGGGCTTTTTCTAAAATTGAGAACTCTTAAGCTAGCTTCTAACGTTTTTTATTTTATATGTACATATGCACTTGAAGAAATTTTTGGTAAAGGACACGTAGTAAGGAGGAAATGCACTTACAAGGCTTTTCATAGGATCTGTATTAACTTGGCACATGTAGCTGCCGGAGTCGTTTATCTGTACACGTGATATGTGAAGCTTCCAGGTATTGTGGCCGTTATGTGTCACCGATAATCTTGGGTTTAGTGAGACCATGTGTGTGTGTATACCAAGTATTGCTTTTGAATCAGATTTAATCCATGCCACCTGAAATTGTAATAACACCAAAGTATAAATGTCGCTATCCAGCCTTTCAATCAAAATTTATCAAATAAGTTTTTTTTTAATTTGGCAATGGATTGCAATGCATTGCTATAAAGCAACGCACAGTGATTGCGCCCATAGGCCATAATTCAATCGATCTAAAAATATTTAGTCAAAACGTAAAGAATTTGTCTCTAAATTGTCCAAATTTTTCCATGGAAAACCAGTTTTAAAAAAAAGGATGCAAAGTGTAAACACGTGTTCAATTTAACAGCTGCAGTTGCGTTAAGTTAGCTTTTCGACAAAACAAAAGTGATGTTCAATGTGGTCGGACGTTTGCCAAAATTCACCAATTTTAATTATTTTTATATCTATTTTTTCTAAAATGAATTTTAAATTGGTTTTGTGAAACTTATATTAAATTTATTATAATAATATATAATTATAATTGTTTGTGCCTAACCGAAGTAGACACTTCCGGGTCACACCGCGGGACAAGGGGGTAATGAGCACTTGTCGCTCGCACGGGGACGCTTTGCTGGCAGGACTATGCTGATCAGCAATTCTCGTATGCAGTGGGTGCTACTATACGCCTGGTACTGATACTACAACATGTGCTGACTGCATTGGCGGGTCAGAGAGCCGTTGAGTCGGTGAGACGGTGAGTTAGTCTGCAGTGAGTGCTACTGAACGCCTGGTACTGTTCCCAGCTTGGCTACAGCTTGATTTGTTGGGTGTGGTCATGTTGAGCACCTTTGGGTATTAATTGATTTATCCTTTTGTTCTATTTTGATAACGTCTTTTTTATGTTTACTTAAAGTTTTAGTTGTGATCCCACAAAATCTCACAAATAGTATGTATGTTATTGTGTTTCTTTGATTTTTAAATACTATATACTTAAAATCAGCTAAACAAATTTGCAGATGTTTATATAACCGTAAAAATACTGATGCCATCTAGCGTTAACCAAGGGCAAGTTTTTCCTTATTGGGCTTTTGTTTTGAAAGTTTTTTATATAAATGTTTACTCTTTAGGAGATTCTCATAAGTGCGTATTTTTAATCTTTGGTGTGCAGAGGGTGAAACCAACGCTGGGAGATTAAAAAAATTATCGAAGTTATGCATGATCAGATTGAAAACAAGGGTTACATCCCCGAGCTAAGCCAACTTCCAAAACATATTAATTGCACATGTGAGATAATAGCTACTTTTTGGGATAGCTACAAACGGGAGAAAACTTCAATTATGCAATATCAATCAAGTTGGCTGAATGAAATCGAAACAATTGTATTGACCTGTGCTCACTGGTGTCTAGAACAAAACGTCAAAGGATTACTAAAACAGCGAAAACAGATCACTCTGCTGCTTCCTTGCTTCTATCATGCAGCTTGTCTTCAGGCCCAAAACATTGCCAAGCAAATATTGACGAAGTCTTATCACTTTTTGTAGAGACGAATTATTATCAAAACACCAATATTAGCTTATTCATAAGTTTATAAATATGCTAGTATCAGTTGATTTACTGCCAAGTTACGAGCAGGTGTTAAAACAAAAAACAGCTACCCATAAGATATCAGCGTTACTGATGGAAATACTGAAGTTCAACTGCAAAGTTTGCTAAACGTTCGATTCGGTTAAAAACTTAATTTTGATCGGAAAATAGGGATTCGATGGTAGCACCAAACAGCCTGAGTATAGACAGAAAGCGCTTAACAATAATTTGGACGACTGCATTCTTTTAGTTACCTCATACGTACCATTGCAATTGATTACCATTCCAAGTGATCCCAAAGGTCAAAAAATAATTTGGAAAAATTCCCGACCTTCATCTGCACGCTTCTGCAGACCAATGAGGTTCAAATTTCAAATAGAAAACTGTCGAAATTTCAGCCGAATCGGACTCGTAGTTTTGTTTTGACTGCGTGAGAAAGAGCAATATCGGTCTGTGATTCTTTTTTTGTTTTTGGAAGGGAAATTGCGCAGCGAAATCAAAGAGCGTTTGGGTGCTGTGTACGGTGACTCTTCTCCTTCGATGGCAACCGACAAAAATTGATTTAACGAGTTTCAACGTGGTCGCATGTCGGTTTTTGATGAGCCCCGAAAACGGCTACCACGGAGGATAACGTGACAAAAATCCACGATCTCGTATTGGCAAACCGCCGATTGAAGATACGCGAGATAGCTGAGACACTGGGCATGTCAAAAGACCGCGTGGGTCATATACTGCATGAAATTTTGGGCATGAGAAAGCTGTCGGCGCGATGGGTGCCGCGTTTGCTCACTCCGGACAACAAACGCAACCGTGAGACCACTTCAGAGCAGTGTTTGATGCTGTTTAAGCGCAACCCGAAGGAGTTTCTGCGTCATTTTGTGACCGTCGACGAAACATGGATCCACTGGTACACACCAGAGACCAAGGAACAGTCGAAACAGTGGACTTCACCCGGCGAACCTGCTCCGAAGAAGGCGAAGACTGTCCCATCGGCCGGAAAGGTGATGGCCACCGTTTTTTGGGACTCACAAGGTGTGATCTACATCGACTACCTAGAAAAAAGCACAGGGCTGTGCTATTCCGAATTATTGGGCCGACTCGCCGCCGAATTGCGGAAAATACGACCCCATTTGGCGAAGAAAAAATGCTCATCCATCATGACAACGCACCGCATCACACTTCCGCCCTCGCCAAGGCCAAGTTGGTCGAATTGGGCTACGAACTGCTACTCCATCCACCATATTCCCCAGACTCGGCCCCGTGTGACTTCTTTTTGTTTCCAAACATGAAAAAGTCCCTCGCTGGACAGAAATTTGGGTCGAATGAGGAGGTCGACGCCGCCACAGAGGCCTATTTTGCAGACCTCGAGAAAACGTATTTTTCAGACGGGTTAAAGAAATTGGAGCATCGCTGGGTCAAGTGTATCGAGCTAAAAGGAGATTATGTTGAGAAATAAATTGGCACTTTTCCAAAATTTTCGTTTTTCTTTTGGAGACTAAGTACTTATTGGACCACCCTCGTATAAAATTTGTAGAATATTTTTTGCACGTTGCTTACATTTTAGCCAAAAAAAAGTTGGCGGATTTTTAACGCCATGGCATCAGGGTTCAGGATTAATGCTGATAAATTCCAAATACTATATATGCTCTTGACACTGCCAAAAAATTGCTAAGTTTGTATGATTGGTACTACTTCCCGCCCTCAGTATTAATCCATGGTGAAGATGTGATTAATTTTGCACTTCTTTCAATTGGAGAATTAACGGAAGGAGCTGCAAAGTCGCGAAGCGAAGACATACAAGTATATAGAAAGCAGAATACACGGAAAATATCTCGAATTGCTACAAATACGGACTTAACAAACAGACTACATTTTTTTATTTGTTATGGCTCCAATTTTGTTTTACAAAAGTGTCTTATTATTAAAATAATTGAATATTATTTGAAACTGATACATATTTCTGTTTGACATGTTTGATATGGCAGCTGTATGATTTACTTTTCCGATTTGGACTATATTTGGTAAGCATATACAAAACTGCTCCGAACACACAATCGGTGATTTTGGTTTACATATCTTGAAAATCAAAAACGTTTTTCATGCTAAATACTCCTTACTCAATACTCATACTATGGCAGCTATATGATATAGACGTACGATATGGCAAATTTCTTTATTATACATTTAAAACATTTTTCTAGATTTGTTGTAAATTTCGTTACAATATATGAACCAGAAGTACTTATGGCCGCGGCTTCATTCAAGCCCATCCAACTACATGTTATTGATTTCAAATACAAGGTGAGTTCCAAGGTAAACAGGCCTTTTTTTTGGCAAAATCAATTTATTTTATTATAAATAGTCTCCTTCTGCTTTAATACACCGATTTGCACAGTCCAAAATCTTGTCGAACGAGTGTTTTAGCTCGTTGCCCGGTATGGCCGCCAATATGCCGGTGCAAGCCTTTTGAATGGCCTCTACGTCTGCATAACGCTTTCCTTTCATCGGCAAATGCATTTTTCCGAAAACGTAGAAGTCGCACGGTGCCATATCAGGTGAATACAGGGAGTGGTTGATAGTTAAAATGTAATTTTTGGTCAAATAGTCGGACACAAGCTTCGATCGATGAGACGGCGCATTATCGTGGAACAAACGCCAACTTCCTCCTTCGCGATATTCGGGTCGAACACGTCGAATACGGCGACCCAAACGCTTCAAAACTCCAAGGTAGAATACCGCATTAACGTTTTGGCCGGGTGGAACAAATTCTTTGTGGACAATACCCTTGGAAACATAAAAACAAATCAGCATTGTCTTCACTTTTGACTTCTCCAGGCGCGATTTTTTGGGTTTCGGCTCGTCCGGCGCCTTCCATTCAGCACTCTGGCGTTTTCTTTCGGGATCATATTAAAAACACCACGTTTCGTCACCAGTCACAATCTTGTAAAGGAAGTTCGCGTCTTTTTTTGCCTCTTTAATGATGTCCTTCGAATGTTGAATTCTGAGCAATTTTTGGACGTCAGTCAATTTGTGCGGAACAAACCGTGCACACACCTTTTGTAAGCCCAAATGTTCGGTCAAAATGCGATAAATCGATGTTTTGGAGATGTTCAATTTTATTTCCATAAATTTCAATGATGATTTCGGCTGATTTTTCATGAATTCACGCACAGTTTCGATGGAATTTTCGGTGATCACGGATTTTGGTTGGCCCACATGTTCATCGTCATTTATGTCCTCACAACCATTTTGAAAACGTTGAAACCACTCGTGCACTCTGCTACGGGATAGGCAATCATCGTCATAAACTTGTTTCATCAATTAAAACGTTTCGGTAAAAGTTTTAGTAATTTTAAAACAAAATTTAATGTTGGCTCTTTGTTTGAAGCTCATTTTCGCACCGATGACAAAAACATACTGACACTTAAAACGCAATAACCTCACTTCCAATAGATGAAATGTCATGAAATTTTTACTGGAAGTCGATAAACGATAGCAGATTCTAACGCAGTTGACATATAGATGGCGCCACTAGATTCAAAAAGTCCTGTTTAATTTGGAACTCACCTTGTAGATGACCAATTACTGTTCTGTTACATCAAAGACTTTTGTTAGACATTAAATTATAGTTGTATAATAATTAGGAGC